GTCAGGACGGTTCGAGTAAGTGATATTTCGGAACAGAATCTAGTTCCTTCGATACCAATGTATTCTAGTAATATGATTTTTTTTTTCTGTGTTGGTGTTGTGTACTCAGGTGAATATGATATTTGTGATGTTACTCTGAGTGTATATCCACACCAGGCGAGCTTGAAAAATATGCCCGGCAACGGTGGGATTCGAACCTACGACCTTTGGAATACTAGCCCAATGCTCTTCCAACTGAGCTACGCGGTCAGGACAGTTCGAGTAAGACTACTAGATTCTGTTCCGAAATATCACTTACTCGAACCGTCCTGACCGCGTAGCTCAGTTGGAAGAGCATTGGGCTAGTATTCCAAAGGTCGTAGGTTCGAATCCCATCGTGGCCGGGTATATTTTTCAAGCTCGCCCGGTGTGTATATACACTCAGAATAACATCACAAATAGCATATTCACCTGAGTACACAACACCAACACACAAAAAAAATCATATTACTAGAATACATTGGTATCGAAGGAACTAGATTCTGTTCCGAAATATCACTTACTCGAACCGTCCTGACCGCGTAGCTCAGTTGGAAGAACATTGGGCTAGTATTCCAAAGGTCGTAGGTTCGAATCCCACCGTGGCCGGGCATATTTTTCAAGCTCGCCCAGTGTGGATATTCACTCAGAGTAACATCACAAATATTATAATATCACCAACTATTGCGGTCTTATGTCAATCCTGCTATCCAGCGGAAGCTCTCTGAAATGCGTAACGTGCAATGTTTTGCAATGTTTTGAAATGACCAAGTGGAAATAAACGAGCCAGTTCTAATAGAAACACATAAGTGTTTCCCCTATGGGTTAAACTTTTAATTTCGACGCTCGAATAGTCGTTATTGTCAAAATAAATGGTTTTAAGCACAGAAAACATTACACTATTTCGTCGAGTTTTAAGTTATTTAATACGGCTGATCTTTGGTTGACCTTTTAGTTTGGCAACAGCCAAATGGCTCAACTTCTACTGCTGGCAGCACGGATTGTGTTTCGTGCATCCCAGAAGCGTTTGCAGGGTTGAAAAATATACATCGTAGCGATCATTTTGGTACCAAGTACAACCTACTGCGAGTGATATTTCGCCTTCAATTTAGCTTTTAAACGCACTAAAATTTGCGGCGATGCGACCAGATATTAACAGCGCATAATATTCTAAGTGTCTACGAAAATTCATGATATTTGATGGTAAATACGAAAAACTTTTTCAATGTTTTATGTGCCCAATTTTTGTGAGCAGCTAGCGAGGATCCTCAAGGTTGGTGTTCCATTTGAGCAAATCACATAGCAGTCACAGAAATTTAAAAATTGAACAAGGAAACTCGGTAATCGAGCGGATTTCGGCCGAGTTAGTATACAAGTCTATAGAAGTAAAGCGTTCAAAAGCTGAATCTCGAAACGAACAACTTAATAAGGTTTTTAACTGTTATTTTTTTCGACAGTTTTGTTTGTATGCGATGTAGGAATACTACTCCATTTGAGCAAATAAAATAATCGAAATATCTTTTTGTCAATTCGATGTTTTTAGTTTGACTCCTATGTATTTTATAGATTTCTTTGCCTAAAATATATTGACTTTTACGTGGGTATCCGCTGGCGCACTGCTGACTCAATGTCCAAAATAGTTGGCGGTGCTTGCATGAAATTTTTATTTCCTGACTGCATAATTATCCGTTACAAGTATAATCACATTATAAAATTAGTGAAATTTTCTCGGTTGGGGCAGTTGCCCCTGCTGCCCTCTGTGCAGTGTACAGCCCTGTTAGATTTGTATTATGCTTGATTTTAAAATCTTATTTGCTATTATATTTGTCATAATAAGTGATGAAAGCAGGGAAGCTTGTAAAAGTTAGGGGGGACGACTCCCACTAGGCACCACCATGGTTGGCGCCGAGCCCCCCCCCCCTGGCTTCCTACGCCCTGGATGAAAGTAGATATGGGTTTTTGTTTGGTGTCGCAACCGTAGACATACAAAATAATTGGCGGCCCATCCAAACTGCCCGAAGATTTTCCATGGCCCATCCCAAATCACTCCGGCCCACCCTAGCAGTTACTTTATGACCGGTCCTTAACAGTGAAATGTCACGAAAAGAATTTCCAGTCTTTAGTAAGGCTTTGCCGCTGATAACAAGTGGAATTGTCTGCCATAAAATACTATACTACAGAATTAAATACTATAGAGTCAATATCGTCCATATATCATCACCATATGGAACAGAGTTAAAATGATATAGTTTTTAAAGTACGCGGAGTACAACTCTTTCGTATCCTATAAGACTTTCCTATTGATAATGGAGCAAAATAGTCTGGTGTTAGATGTGAATCGTCGTAATTACTTAAGTCAAGAAATAAGCCTTAATATACAGCCGAGCAATTAAAGAAGTCGTTTTAACTACTCAATATTTACTATATTCTGTGAAAGTAAAATGGTCTGGCATCAGACAGAGTAAAATATAGTAAAGTACGTCTGGTTTGCTATCGACTAAAGTTTAATGTACAGTATCTCAAATTTCAAGCAAAAACCCTAGTACAGTTTAGGGCCATTTCGATTGTTCATTAGATTGATGGAAATATAATTAAAATTATAGTATTCTTATAGTTAGTAACAAGCTAACACAAAAGACGTGTATTTTAAAAGCGTAACAAATTTTGATAGTTGGGAACTGAAGTCCTTCTTCAATCTTTACTATTGAATAACTCAATACAGTTACAAATTCACTGAATCATTTACTTAAGAAACAAGATTTACCTTAGCTTATACCTTAGTATTCCTGTGTCGCAAATCTCCTTGCAGACGAACAATTCATACTTTGTGTTACCAAATATGTTGCAGAATAAGTAGGCCTATATAAAGTGTCGCAGTGTCTTGAATCTCGTGTTCACAGCGGAAGACGAGTATTTGCGAGTCCTTCCTACACGCCACAGCTCAACAAATGAAGACGGGACCAATGTTTGAATAATCCGCCGCATGATTGGCGTCTTCGTATATCGTCTTTAGTACATTGTTCACTGACAACTATTGTAGAAATTAAAATTACGAAAGAAACCATCGATGCCGTTTTTATAGGAGGAATGCCAATGTCATGCTACTTCGAGTAGCTTAAAAAGCAGAATTTCTCAATTCAATATTACAAAAAATTCTAACAATAACCTAAATAATCGAAACGCATCATTTCTCTGATCATGACATATAGGCACTTTAATTAATCCCTTCGTTAATTAATCAATCGCGGAAAATATCTGAAAACCAAGAGCTCGGTAGTACCTGGATAAAAACAATTCGTCATATTTCTCTAACATTTCAGCCAAATAGAGCAAACGTTTATAAATATTTTGCTTTAAATTTCCTGACTTTGGAATTAACATCTCAGTTGGAAAATTCTCTGTTCTGATATAAAAAGATTTCAGATGAGGAATCAAGGTGTTCTCCAGGATTGGAATTTTAGGCAGAATAAGCATTTGCAACACAATTCCTGGTAATGGCGATTTTCTATCTCCTTCTGCATCAGCAGCGATATATTGTTTAATGACGTCGTGTACGACAGAGTGCAAAGAAATTGAAAGCAGCCTCTTCTCGTCTGAAAGAAGAATTGGAAAACATTCTCGAATTCTTAGTCTGACATTTGAAGTGTCTGCACTTTGATCAACACTAAGGATGTAGCTTTCGACGAGGTGAAAGGGTAGTGGTTCATGAGATACGTACGAAAGAAATGTAAAGGCGTGTTTTAAAACAGGATCACTTTCTCCAATCAACCTGATGGCCAGCAGAACAGCAGTGTACATGGTTAATGAGTATGTATCATTTATTTCATTTGGCTTTTTTTCAGTAAAGTTTCGTTTCCCTTCATCGAGATTTTTTAGGTAATCTTCCCAAGCAAACTTTGCAGATGCTGTGCTTTTTCGACGTTGTTTGACATAAAACGCAGCGTACGCCAAGGCAAGAGGTTGATAATCCAATTCCTTTGCTACATTCAACAATTGATTTTCAACAACTGCATGACCAGATAGATCTATAAGAAATTTGCATGATTCTGCCGGATCCATACCTTGACTAACTGAGATACGAACAGTCAAAGAACTGTTTGATGAAACAGATGAAATGTCTTGTGTGGCAATTAACACTTGACCACCTGTCCAATCTTCATCTTCAAGTTGAGGGAGAAATGAAGATACTTTACTAAGCTTTACAACATTATCAACTATCAACAACCAAGTGTAATCATTGTTGACGACTTTCAACGCCTTAACAATTTCTTTCTGAACACTCTCAACTTTCATTACTGTTCTTGTTTCGTCAGAATCTACGATGTTTGCGATAATACTTTTATTGCATTTCATGCGATGTGCGAAATCAACATATGAATTCAAGATATGACGTAATGATCTGCCATTTAAAGTCATGACAAAAGTTGTGCCACCAAACCAACCAAACGTGGTAGTTGTAGCGTACTGTTCACCTACTAACCTAGCAAGCTGAGACGTCCCGCTTCCTGGTTTGCCAGAGACATACAAATAAGTCAACGCACGGTCATTTCTACTGGAGAGATTATGTAATTCTTCAAGAATCGTTTTAACAGCTGTATTTCGGTTCGCAACCAAATGAACAGGTTTCCTAGGAAGGACCTTGAAGAGAGCTTTGTTTTGAGTAGCTAAAATATAGAGCGCACTGGCAAGCAACCCAACCAGAAAAACTGTGAGAAAAATATATGGCATATACCACATCCCCCATAAACGAGTTACATGATTCCCTCTCCACGAGTTTTTAATCCTTTGGATGTCCGCTGTGGATAGCAGCAGTACATTGAAACAATTCACAACTTTTTTGTAGGCGTTATCAAAAGCAACATCAGACATTTTATGTTGCGAGCCAAAATAATGAATCAATTTATTTCTGAGATCCCTCAATTCATCAACCTTGTTGGAAACGTGTGGAGCCAAGTGCATCTTAAGTGCCTTAGAATAAAGAATTGCATCTGTCAAAGCAGAACAATCCCAATCACTTCTTTTCCCAGATTTAAATAAATGCAGATACGATTTAGCTGCAGATCTTGGTCTCTCCATATTATAAAGCTCGTTACCAGTAAGCGGAGTGTCATCCCAGAGGCCTTTAGAAATACCATAATGTTTGTTCCATTCCTGTTTGAATATTTCTCGAAGACCTTCACACACAGCGACATTCATAATTTCCATAATACAGTTGTAATTTCTTCTCTCACGTCTTGTTAGCAGCATGACTAGAACAATACATTAAGCACGTAAGGTCAGTATAAATATGAATATTTATGTTTCATTCTATAACGCAATGATAGATTGTATGGTTGACACCAGTCAACGGTTCGATAATACAGAGTGTATAAAAAAACTGAACAGATTTGAAATTGCTCTCAATTTCGCAAAACAGCTATTAGTATCCAGTTTTTGATATATATGGCTTCTTTGGATGAAAAATGTGTTGGGTGTTTAATTGCTACACGAAATTTCAGACAATTTGCTTCAGTTTAAGCCCTTCAACTATCCACGCAAACTTACACTTTTCCTAAAAAATCAGCAATTTGCATGCTAATTAATGCATTTGCCCAATTTGTATATGTCAGCAATATGCAAATTAGGTAAAGGCATTAATTAAGCATGAGAAAGGCTGATTTTAATTTTTTAGGAAAAAATGGATAGTTAAAGGGCTTAAACTATATAAGCAAATTGTCTGACATTTTGTACAGTAATTAAACAACCAACAAATTTTCCATCCATTAACCCAAAATACGATTAAAGCTTTTAAATTTCGTGCGCAAGCCATTTTTAGTTTGTTGGAAAAGACACCTCCCCGCGGTTCACAAAATTTGAGTTCGACAATTTTTTTCCCATTATTCTACCTAATATAAGTACCCAAAGAAGCCACATACCTCAAAATCTAGATACTAATGGCCGTTTTGCGAAATTGAGAGCAATTTCAAATCTGTTCAGTTTTTTTTATACACTTTGTAGAAACCTGAGCAAGAAGTTCCACTACGGCAACTGTCCTGACCAACAAAACAAAAACTAGCTCTTCTGCCTTAATTGAAAACGAAATATAACCAGCTAAAATAATAGGTTCTTTGCACGGTTATTATTTCACTTCTTGTCATAAAACACTCCATATTAAACAGAGAAGCTATTTATAAGATTTTTGTGCCTAAAGTTGGACAACTCTGTTTTGAATGCGCAACATGTACTAATTTGTTGACATTGCAAACTATATTCGCGGCAAGCAAAAAATAACAAAATTCATATTGTAGCGCGCATACTTGTAAATTATATGCTGCTAATAGTCAACCAGTTATAAAAATAGTGTTTAATATCCAAAATGTCATGCTATCTTAAAGGCAAATGCTGCAGAATCATATTACCGCCAACAATATATATATATATATATATATATATATATATATATATATATATATATATATATATATATATATATATATATATATATATATATATATATATATATATATATATATATATGGTGAAAACTAATACCAGCCGGCATAGAAAACACAATTCATAACTGAAGACGAGAATTATTGCAATTTTGTCGGTCTGAAATAATTGTTCACCTAACAATACACACAAGGCATTTTATATATAAGCTACAGTATATGTTAGTGGTGTGTGACGTTGAGCGGCACTGGCGAAACACTGACGAGAAAAGTGTGCAGTAAAAAATGTGATGGAAATCTGGGTGTAATGAGAAGAGATTATGCTAGCTTTGAGACCACATTTGAAACGAGAGGGAACCCTAATTTTACCATTGGTACGAAATGTACCGTTCAGACGTATTGATGAAAATGATATCATGTTACTCTGCACACCACAGGTGGTGGGTTAGCCAGATATTGGCATCAAATTTTGGCGCTTCGGGGGGGCAAAGTTGTTAGCGCACTTGCCTCTCACTTCCAGGGTCGCAGGTTCAAATCTCAGCGAGAACTTTCTCAATGCAACTCGAACCCAGTCTTCATGTGAATGCGCGCGTTCCATGGGGACGCGCGTTCCCAAAAACAAAAATTACAGTACATTTCATAGTAAATTATATCACGATTTTCGATAGCTTATTATTCGAAGGGTGTTCATGTAAACGTCTTCAAACTTTACTTAAAGCTAGTAAAGAACTACAACTGTTCACATAACACTTTAACTCAATCTTCTTCTACATGTCGGGTCTTTCCCTTTCTACCTTAATCCTTTTAATATATTAAACATTGTTGTAAATATAGCTAAATATTCCATTTTCAGTTATTACTAT